GTTTAACTAAAACATTAGCTCTCTCTTTAAACTTTTTTCCATGGAAAACCTTTCTTTGTGTGTGGGGGGAGGCACATGGCAATGATGCTGCTAGACACAGAAAGATCTACTCTGTTAGAAGGTGCCTTTATTTTTACATTGAAGTTTATCAATTGTGATTTACATCTTAGCTCAGCACTGTAGCTGAACTGAAATATACCAAGTCTCCAAGATCGCTCTTTGGCTAGCACCTCTTGGGTTTGTCCAGATGTTTGCTGCAAAAATATGGACAGCTGACAAATGTCAGAAAAATTTACAGAAAATAATAATTTTTTTTTGTCACCTTAAGCTTGTCCAGGTGTTTACAACTCATATATGGTAGCTCTAGGTCAATTAGACTGCTCTGTGTCTGCACTTCTTTAATTGTATCATTACCATTAAATGATCATAATTTATCCCAAATAATAAAGAACAAGTTGTGGGACTTTTAATATAAATCCCAAGACAAGTCACTTGACTACTCCAGAACCTGTCCATTTTTCCTCAGAATTTAAATGCTGCCTTAATTTTGGAAGTAGGATCAAAACAATTTAAAAGATGTTTGTTTTGTTCTCTCTCCAAGTTATTGTTGGCAAAGTGAACAAGACTAAAGAAGGGGGGGGGGAGCCCACAATTCCGCACCTCTTATGACTAAGTCAAAATTATTCTGACATGTAAACTAGTGTATGAAACCCAAATTTGTAAACAGCTCCTTTTCAGACTGAACTGATGGTGATAAACTTCTTGAATTATTATATAATGCTGAAAAATCATTTCAATTTGTAATGCAATTTTTTTGCATCATTAATATTTTTTGCATCATTAAGCTTAACATGTTTCCACTGAACACTCACATGGAAAAGCTCCTCCTAAATGTAATATATAAAAATGAAAAAGAAAGCTACTTTAAGTCATTTTATTTGAACACTGGTACTTTGAGCATCAAATATTCAATTAGTTAATTATATCTATCTATCTATCTATCTATCTATCTATCTATCTATTTATCTATCTATCTGTGTAATTTAATAATTTTAAATCTACAGAAATATGACAGAGTTGTCATATTTTTATTTATAATTGTTATTATTATTAGTCTTCACTGACATTTATGTATTTACATTCTAATTCCTTATCACATACATCCCCTATTCTGTTAAAAAATAGTTTAATATTTCTGTTTGTAAATACTTTTACAGATATATTATTTGGAAAATAAGCTATTAATTCTTCTAGAGGGTTTCTGATACACGGAACATTTCCAGCCTGCCTGTTCAGTTAAGAATCTACACTTATTACATAGTCTGTCTGTGCACAGTTTTTTTAAGCTCGCTCACTTGTCTCTAGGAAACCTTGCCAAAGATAATGTTAATCACCATGTAATTGTCCTAGGCCTAATTTTTATCCATGTCACAAAATTTATACATTACAATCCCATTTCATGCAAAGGAACTCACCTTTATACTTGCAGATGAAAAGGTGGTCTCTTCAGTGAGATATTAGCTATGTCAAATAAAACACATAATCGGTTTTATGATTCCTCATCCTTCCAAGAAATCTTTCTATGTTAACTGATATATATATATATATACACACTGATAGATTCTTTTTATTTCAGCTACCCAGAAACAGGCTTTTTCAAGTGGCTAATTAAATAGGATAACCGAAGTCCCAAAACATAAAAGATTGAAATTTATCTAAATCTAAAAGCAGTCTTCCAAATTTGTAAAAACTGTTTAGAAGTCTGTCTTGTAAACTCATTTAGATTAATTATTCTGGGATTAAATAGAAGAGAAACCTTAGAAAAACTAGAAAGGTGTAGTTGAGAGTAGTTGGTTTCAATCCAGATAAACTGTCCGATCTCATTACTTCAGTCAGCGAGGACCTATTGCCAACCAAACCGAAGGACAGAAAGAATATCCAAGTCTGAGACAGGGACACCAAAATGTGAAAGGGGTCTGAAACCCGGGTATTTAATGCACCATTCCCTGTTGCCATCACAATGAGGCATTGTTGGGTATAGAATCTGCAAAACAATGAGTCCTTGATAGGACATAATACCTATTCAGCTTCACACAACTTGGCCTTAAAAACATCCTTAGATCAAATTTACCTTTGCTGCACATAATCCAACAAAGTGATTGACTGCTTCTGTACACATTCATCTATTTCGTGTAGTTCACTGATGGGCTTACCTCTCCTCTGGAAAAAAAATAGACTCAGCACTGACCTTAAGAAACAATGACTGTATAATTAATGTCTATATCATTAATTAGCATGTAACATGAATGTTCACTTAAGATAATATGGAAAAGTCAATTATAAAGTTTTTTTTAAAATGCAACTATAGCATTCCTTAAGGCCAGCAGATTGAAGCATGTGTTTCATATTAGCTTCCGCTAATATATATATATATAAAGTCACAACCCCTGGTATGCCCAAATATGGGAGGAAGTTCACTGCTTCCATTCTCTCTCCATCGGCTCGTCACAAGAGACCATCCAGACAAAAACCCAATATTTTTACTGTTGCCTTTGTTACATTTGTGTTGTATTTGTGCTGATAAAGTCTCCCTTTATTTATTTATCAGCACAAATACAAACACACACACACACACACACATATATATATATATATATATATATATATATA